GGAGGAGGAGGAGGAGGAGGAGGTTACAGTACACTTTTTCCAGAAAAGCGACTACAGGATGCTATACTCCCACAAATTAGAAATAGCTAGCGGGCTTCCTGGCTTGAGGGAAACAGCGAGAGAGAATAAACGCCTGCACAAAAGCAGGCGAAACCTATTACTCGGAATCACTAAAGGCGATTGAGCACAGCTCATGAGCCTTTTCTGGATCTGCCTTGGCCAAGAACTTGTCCCTATGTTTCTCAAAAGATGCACAGATAAAGGGGAAAGGAACAGTGACAGGACAGGGCAAATCGACTGACCTGTCGTGAGTGGTCCAGGTTCAGTGAATTGAAAGAGGGTATGTATACACTGTGTGCTTTGGTCTAGATCCAGAGACCCGTATAATGATGTGTGTTCGATCATCACATCCACAGGGGGTCTAGTCTACATCATCAAACCCAGTAGGGACAGTCAGTAAGCGAGAGGAGGCACAAGGCAGAAATGGGGCTAGGAGAGAACAGTCACAGAAGAGGTGACGACACTAAACGACATCGGGGATCTGCAAAGACATTTGTTAAAGACATGAACGATGCTTATCGCCTTCTGTAACCGTCAAGTGCCATCACAGAACATATAATGCCTATTTACAGCAGGCATCGATAAATGCTCGCTTCCCCGAACATAATGCTACAAGGACCAATCAACGGAACAGGGTACACAGAGATCGCACGGTCTTCGTACCTCAAGTGACGGGCACACCAGTGGATGAGCACGAGGGCAGCCTGTGTCCCCAGTCCCTTCTGCATGGCAAAAGGGTCACCAGACTCACCACTTATATAATCCCACACCCACACCCACACCAACACGTACACCCCTGACTGGCATGACACTGCCAATGCCCCCGACTCCACCCATTCTTCCCATACCCCTCAAGGCAATGGTCCCAGCAGAGGCGTGATTCATGGAGCATCTGTTAGTCACAAGCATCTTCATCTCTTCAAAAGCAACTGCAGTTGCAGGAATGCCTGGCACCGTCGCAGACAACCCACCAAAACCCGGCTCCGCCGCACACACCGATCTGCCTCCAGATCTCAGAGAGCTCCTGATAGTATCATCGTCGTATGCAACAGCTGTCTGCGCGTACGTGTTTGCTGCTATGGCGATCTGACATGGCGAGGCCTCTTGAAACCGGAGTATGTCCCTTCGAGCATCCGCTTCTATCAGAACCAGTTGAACTAATGCCCCAAGGCGAACATCTCTGGTAAACCTCATGACCAATTCAAACCCAAGCTGCTCGCCAAAAATGTGCAAGGGGCAACAAATAAACCGCCAACAGCAGTGGAAAGAACCAGACAGCATAAAGCCAGTTAGTTGTCCGTTAGTCCATTGACATCAGTCCATCACAAAGCTGGCTTCTGCCACCCACATATCACCCATGGCAACCATGCTCTGTTTAGTTGCGATCTGTTCTTTCAACTTCTTTGTGTACATCCGCATGCCATATGCTAATCATCTTACCACGTAATGCCATAGAACCGTTTCTTTCCTTTGAACATTTGGGAAAAGCATTTGGTTTCAATTGATTTGAATCATACTCCAGGCCTCTCACTCAGGGGAAAAGGATTCCACAGCTGCCAATCATATCCGGTTCTGTTTCTGACAAACAGCTAACCCTGTCATTTGCGTTCGAAGGGCCAGAAAGCCTGGACCTGTGAGGGCGAACAGAGACTCCTCGTCAAGGTGGTACTTGAAGGGACAGGATGGGGGGGGGAAAGAGGATCGGAAAACGGTAAACTAGACAGACCCAATCTATGACATCAACACGGACACCAGACAGAGTAGCCATGCCCGAGGGGTGGAGCAGATGACAGCTTTTGCACATGAGAAAGATAAGAGTTGATAAGTTGGGTGTGGCAAGCTGGGGGCTGCCGCCGCATAGGGTCTGCGGGCCCAGACATCCTTTTGGGTAGAACCATACTTGCGGCGCAAAGCGCACGAGCATGCATGCGTGCGCACGTGGTGCGCCTCATACCTTAAAATCGGGGTGGGAAAAAAAATTAGGGAGTGGTAGGGTTGTCCTTCGGGACATCCGTTAAAATTGGAACGATACAGAGAAGATTAGCATGGCCCCTGCGCAAGGATGACACGCATAAATCGAGAAATGGTCCAAATAAAAAAAAAATAAAAAAAATAAAAATAAAAAAAAGGGAGTGGTAGGGTTGGATGGCACACCCATTCCCCGAACTCAAAAAAATAGGATTCCACGAGAAAAAAAAAATTGGGGCCGCGGGTGGCCCCCAAAGATGTGTAGTGTGTCCCATGGTTGAAGATAGATTCAAGATCGGCCTGGCTCCACTGCACAAAGAGTGTACAATTCTCCACATGTATCTGGACTCTGGAGCTGTTAATATGCCCACTACAATCCAAATGTCACGTGCGGAGTAATGGAGCGTGGCTCCGTTTTTGGACAACGGATGTAATGTTTTATTCTGACTTGCCGGTGGAATAGGAACCGGACTGATGCTCCCCAGAATGGAAATGGAGCCCGGCCCATAAGGACCTGTTTTATTAAAAAAAAAAAAAAAAAAAAAAAAAAGGATAGAGTCCTGCGTGATTTTCAAGATAATTGTTTAAGAATTCATGAAGAAAACAAATTTCAAGCCCACAGCATTTGTGGCGTGGTGAAACGGAGTGGGGTTGATGAAAAAGATTGCGTACCTCGTACAGAAGCACCGTTGCAAGATTATCAGCCTCTTTAATCCACCTTAGCACTAAAGCTCTATGAACTAAATCCCTTGGTCTTGACTTGAAATACTCAATCATCCAGTAGCGTTGCGTGATACTTTCCAATTTGCCAGCATGTTTTGAATGGGTTCTGTACACAAAATAAGACATTTGCAAAACAGTTCAGTTTCCCAGTCCTGCCCATTGTGCACACCACAGACGAGCTAACAAGTTGCAGAATTGGTGCAGATGTACAAATATAGGAGAATGTCCTTCGGGACATCCGTTAAAATTGGAACTATACAGAGAAGATTAGCATAGAAAAAAAAAAAAAACAAATATAGGAGAATAACCGACCCACCCATTTTTCACCTCAGTAACTCAGTTTATTGTGTTGTGTCATGTATGTGTGCATGTACTTATACACATAGATGTATGCAATGAACTTGCAGATTCACAGCGAGCTGTAACATAACAGGGTTAGTTTTGCAATTTCTTCCAAGTTTGGGCCCTAACTGGTAACTCTGAAGAGGCGTAGTTCCTACGGGACTTTTCTGTAATTTTCAGGCCTGGACTGACTTTCCTCGACAGTTTGAGACTGGTACCGTAGGCTGGATTTTGAGGCCCGTTCTATTTCGTGAGGTCCTAGGGTCCGGTAGGTCGTAGGGTAGAGCTAGAAATAGCTTAAGGATCAATGGGGTTCAGGTTCATTCAATTCTGGGTTCTTGGTGGAGTTGGGAACAATGCTGCTGCGCTCAAGTGGCGAGACCGCCGCTGGAAGGAGGATGACGGCCATAGCTAGGGCAATAACAAGGAAAGGGAGGCCTCACTGCAGATAGCTGTGCAGGCGCTGTGAGCAGCAAGCACATCTGTGCTGCTGGGAGTTGGGCACTGCCTCAGCCATACCTTTGTTCGTCGAGCTGAAGGGGTTCTTCTTGCACCAGGGGACTGGCGCTGCGTTTCCGGCACAGGTGCTGATTGGGCACAAGGTTTCCTGTGTTTTGGCCGATTGGCACTGCAAGTAGGGAAGGAGCACTGGAGGTCGGCAGGTCTTCGGGTTGGGTGCTGGTTCTTGGAAGGCGCCATAGCTAGGATTTGCAGAGGTGATGTTTGGAGGAAGAAGGAGACTCTAAGTACTTCATTAAGACTTCGTTTTAATTTGTTCGGCGTTGTCGAACCATGGTTGGGGATTCTTGAGAATTTGTCACTCTGATTGATCACAGGAGGAAGGGGGAATAAGAAATGAATTTACAATTCAACTCGCTTCCGCTGTGTACTTCTCTCCGTTTTGGTGTGGATTTGCCTTCTCCAAGTCTGCTTCATCATTGAATGCGTGGAACTTTAATCAGTAACATGACAGTAAGTACCAGAGCTACAACAGGGTGCAACTGGTGAGCGAGTTGTTGTTCACCTTCTTTCAAGTGGTGATTGTAGTTTTGAAGCTGTGCTCCGTTTCCTTCAGCGGAAGCCATCAGTGGAAGGAGATGTGAGGTTGGTGTGAGTGGTGGCAAGAAAGGTGAAGGTTCAGTAACGGTTCGTTTAGAACGGCAACCGACGTGGAGCGGATTTCACCGGCTTGAGTTGGCCCTGGCAGTTGCATATTTAGGGACGCCGAGTCTAATACCCCCATAAGTTGAGGTATATGTCAAAATGTCCCTGAAAGATCTGGGCACAGTGGAATGGCCTTTTGGGATGGCATCTTTGTGTTATGCCCCTGTCAGGCGGGTGTGCAAATTCACAATCTCAGTCCCCCCGTTTGCGCCTTGGCCTTTTGCAATTGCACCTACGAACAGTTGACAACTACAGGGGCATTTTGCAAAGTTGAACGGCATCTGGTAGGGGTACATTGCAAAGATGGGGTCCAACCGATGTCTGGGGTGTTTTGCAAAATGTTTTTGTCATCGCCCTTTGCCGCAGTGTAGCTGCGGCAGGTCCACTTGTTATTATTATTATTATTAGTAGTAGTAGTATTTATTACTTTTGTCCTGTTTTTGGGCCCGGTACCGCTCCCAAGACCGACGATGGAACCGACGGGCCTAGCTCAGTTGATACATCCTCGAGTTGGGAGTACAGACATAAGTTTGACTCTTGGTGCATAGCGTCGTACTAAGGCTGACGGAGGCTGTATAAGAGGCGGCCTGGTCAGACCACCCGGGCTTTTTCTACTCAATCTTGAATGCGACCGGGTGGTCGGACCTAGCGGCTGTGCAGGCGGTAGGATTGAGCGTTGAGCTCAGCGCTATCAGAGATCGACTGGGAAGAAGTGAGTGAACGTGAGGTTGAAAAAGACAAGGAAGAGAAGACCGAAGGAGAGAAAGGAGGAGGAGAGGGAGGTCATAGTCATTGTTGTGGTCGTCTTCGACAGGCAGTGTTTCTTGATTGCATCCTTCCCCGTCATCTCGGTGCTCGTCATCGTAGTTCGCAGTGGCGGGTGCTCGCGCGTTCGTTGTGGTGGAGGTTGTGTTCATATGGCAGGTGCATTTTGCCAAGTTCCAGCGGTAGATTCATTACCGCTTTTTTTCAATTATCCAACGGTCGAACGATGCACAAGGAGACAAAGGGCATGGTGATGTATCTTTCCAAGTTCTAGTGGAAGGTCTATCCCCGTGCAGCTCATCTTAGCAGGGAATCAGTGGCGTTGATCTTCCCATATTTTGGGGAAGATTCATTCTTACTTCACGGGTTCGGTGCCTGTTGGAGGTCGCTGCACGTTCGGCCTCACCGTCGTACTCATTGCTGCTCGTCGCAGCTTGTGTCCATTGTGGTCGTGGAGCTCTTCTTCATCTTTGTGATTGCGCTCTTCGCCATTGTTACGATCCTGGTCATTTCCCAAGTGCAAATTCACAATGAAAGACAATGCCACCCAATTGCGAAAGAAATGAAAGCACTTGCAAAGAGATAAAGACCAGAGGAGAGGTAAGGAAGAAGAAGAAGAAGAAGAAGAAGAAGAAGAAGAAGAAGA